TTAATATTAACAGCAAATATTTGTATGAAATAGTAATGGTTTTCTGCACATTTTGACATTCAAGGAACTGGTCCAGATGAATTCGGAAGTCAGACAAGCTCAGACTTAAAATTGTGAAGTTTTTAAGTACAAGGAGAGAAAGACCATGCAGAATTTGAGTTCTGGTATTTCTGAAAGCATGCTTACCATCAAGAAAGCAAAACTCCAAACCCAAAACATGGTATTTCTGGGGACAACTACAAGAAAGTGTTGATCTAAATGAGGCAAAGATTTTGTGTTGTATAGAAGTTTCTGACTTTAAGAAGTCCTGTGTTGTCTTACAATAAATCCTAACCCACACATTTCTTAAGAGAAAGAGGTTTCAGAATAGTAAATATGTTTCTAGTTAGTGCATTCACCTCATCAGGAAAGGAAAGAAATCCTGCTTCAGTATGTTTTCTCATCCTTTATGCAAACTTAAACAGCTTCTGAAAAAATGACCAGCTCAATGTCACTCAAGAGCTCCTTGGTTGTGTCTCTTACCTGGGATGCAAGGAGAGCAGAACTGCTTCTGTTGTACTGCAATTCACTTTTTATCTGCCTGGAAATTTCATGGAAGTTGCAACTTAGAACTTATGGAATTTCAATACGATTTTAATTTCTGCAAAATGGGATTCTTTAGTGACTCAGCTTTTTCTGTTGGTTATTTTCTTTGAAAAGTCCTCATTCAGATTTACTCACAAACAGCTGAGTGTTATTGGTGGGATTTTCTGCAAATCTGAAAGAAAATGGGGCAAGTTGGGTTGCAGAAATTTGAACCAAGGTAACAATTTTTCAAGTAAAAATATTTACTTTCACTTAAGCTTTAATGTAGTACTTGAAATGGCTCAGTGAAGCACTTTTCAGAGACATTATGTAGGTGACAGTTTTGGTAAAAGAATTCCAAAGCTAATGTAATCAATTAAGAAATTGCAAACATCTGGTTTTCCCGTGTTAGTAATTGCAGCATGTATGTGTTTCCTCCAGTGGGTTAGGGATGGTTGCTCATGGTGCTTGGACCAGTGCACACTGCAGTGATTTCTTCCTGAATATCTTTCAGTACCTAAAACCTCACTCCCTGTGTGGAGGCCCCACCTTGCACCTTTTAACTCAGCATTTTACCCTCCATTGCAGCAGGTTGCATCTGTTGAGGACAGTATGCTAGGCAGCAGTGAAGGTTGTCTTGGGGCAAAGCTGCCAAACTCTGAGTAAGGCCCCTATAAATCCACCCAGGCAGATGGAAGGACCCTGGACCTCATGCTAGTTACAGTAACATATTCTCCTATCTAATGCTTTTCCATGTCTTTAATGGGATACTTGTTTAAAGGAAGGTGCAGCAGAGTGAGTGTTTTGTATGCAGCTATACTTCAGTTGTATGAATTTGTGGAATCAGTTTCTTAGGGTTTGTGGTTTAGGTTTTCTTTTTTGTGTGTGTGTGGTTTTTCTTTTGTTTGTTTTGTTCTATGTTTCTGGTTTTGTTTGTTTGTTTGTTTGTTTTTCAGGGAATGTTAAAGTATGTATCTCATATAATAAGCCTCATGAATAAAATTGCAAGCCAGAATAGGACAACATGTATCTCTGTATACCTCTTACTCCAACAATTTCTCCTTTTCACTTAAAGAAATAATTATTGTTCCTGTTCTACCATGACATGCAGTTATTTACCACAAAGAAAAAACTTTGTATTGGTGATACAATTTAGCATTTGTCACTAAACATTTCATTGTTAATACATGACTAAAGATCATCTGAGTAAAAAAAAAACCTGACCAATTCTTCCCTCATAGTTTATTTCTTTTTCTTCTAGACTTGGATAATTCATGCATTCAGATAGCAGGCAATCAGGAGAGAGTACATAGCTGTCTTTTATAGGAAGGGGTACATACGAGGCATATATTAGTCAAGGGAACCTAGATGGAACACTGAACTCAGAATTTCATTGTTGAAATTAGGTTTTCAGTTTTGAGTGAAAAGTGGGACAGCTAGTTTGCCTAAGGCAAGCACATGATCAGCATGGACTGGTAGGTAGTACTGGCAGTTCCCAGATGCCACAGGTTATATTCCTGCCTCTCTTTATTCCCTACCTATTATTTTTCTTTTATTTATTTTAACATTATTATACATTTGATTTAGCTTTTAAAATTAAACAAATCTCTCTCTCCATAAATTGCTAATGAAATCAGTGTTAAAAATATTACACCACTTATGATGGTTCTCTACATTAAGAACTGTCAGCTGAGGTTGTATATTCGGAGTTTTATTTCTTAAGTTTAAGAACACTATCTCTTAGCATAAGAACTCTTCCACTGTGACAGAGACATGCAGTCCCACTGAGAGGTGGGTAGGAAGCTCAGACACTGTCCTACTGAACATGCCACTATCAAGATCTGCAGTAAATTTTCTTAATCCTCAGTGCTTTGTACTACTTATATACAAACATAGATCCAGAATAAAAATTTTTACTATCATCTAGTGATTTTGATTTAATTTTTGTATAAACCTGTACATTTAGAAGTTGGTTTTGATATGATCAGATACATAATGATTCAGCAGTTAAACTTCTGTGTGTGCAGCAACTGCACCTCCTGGGAGTTTCTAAAAAGAACTAGGTTGCTGTCGGTTTATAAATTAGTCATATTGAATGAAGAGGAAGTCACCAGTAAGTAGAGTAGGGAAGCATAGAAAAACTTCCTATAAAGAAATAGACAATTACTAAAATGCTAGTAATATTTCCTTTTACTTACTTCAGCATGACTGTTGAGACAATAAAAATTTTGGAGAAAGAGACAAAGTGATCAGAAGCTTCGCCTTTAGATGATGCTCCAGAGTGGCCTATCACAACAGACTCTATGCAATATTACATGATAGAAGGACTGGTTCATCTCTAAAGAGTTAGGATATTTTGCTGCTGATGCTGAATGAAGGCTTGTGTACAAAGAATGGATGTATTTATTACAAAGAAGAAATTTATTAAGCACTATTAACAGTTCCTGCCATTTGCTGTTACTAATTTTCAGCTTTCCATGATAGCTGTTATGGTATGAGGGTTACGTTGCAATAATGTTAAACAATGGAAAAGGTAGATTTTTTTCTGGGGGGATGCTTTCCTTTAAGGTTCCTTCACAAGAGTGTGGAATCAAATGGCATTTTGAGGCACAACGTTTGTATGTGTGGGTGGGGAGAGGGTATCTACTCAGGGAATTTCAGGTGAAGTAATATAATGAAACCGTGGGAGTATAGAGAAGGGTAGTGTGGGTGGAAATAAGCTAAAATGGCATCCTGAGGGTTGACAACACTCATTTGATCGGATTTTGTTTTGTCTAACATTGAGATGGGAATGTGGCCTTCAGTGCACTCTCAGCAGGAGTGGAGGAACCCAAGTGGTTCCCATACACTGGTGGGGTAACAGCCTGGCTCCTCAGTGGCCAGCAGGAGGGCTGTGGTTTGGGCCTGCCTGACAGCAGTGTGAAAACCTCATAAACTGTCAGTGTGTTCATTGTTTGCTTGCATTTCAATGGCAAAACTCAAAAACAGCAATCTAACTTGTAATAAAGAAACCAAATGTGTGGAGATGATTGCTAATCTTTGTGGTTATGTACTGCTGGCCTTTGAATGTGGAAGTTGCTGGTCAGGTATTAGGAATGTCAAAACCTAAATATTGATCCTTGTTTAGGGGAAGAGTAGGAGCACCTAAGCAGAGGATTTCCTGGACAGGTTTGTCACTTCTTACGAGCATGAGCTAAGAAGCTCTGAAGTTGCAAAGCCAGAGGTCCTAGAGAGCACTGACTTACCTGCAGGTGGTAGGCTCCTACGTCTACATATCCAGAAATATTCTAATGTGGTGACATACTTCACATCTATGAATTAGCCGTGACCATACTGCATCTGGTATTTCTAAGAAGCCCATTTACTTCAGGAATATCCAGAGCTGACTGCATCTTGAATATGTTGAAGTGCATGTTAAAATTCTAAGCAAAGGCAAAAAAAAATCTTAACAATTTTGCCTGGAAAAAAATTCTTATGGAAGTTAAAAAAGAACACACCCAGGGCAAAACCGTATGTATGGCAACTTCAGAAAAGACTTCCTTAAACTCAGAAAAATTATTTGTAAACCGCTATGCAGCGAACAGTACTTTTTCTATTCAGAGATGCCATTTGTGTGGACAGTTAAAACAACATTAATGAAGAAATGAGATTTGACACAAAGAGTTTATTTCCTGAAAGCTCTCGAATCAGTCATGAAAATATCTAAAACTCATATAAAGAAAAAATATACTTCAACACCAAAGGCAATAGAAGAAAAAAATGCATTGAGAGCTATTTTCAGAGCAGGGAAAATGCTTTACATCCAGAGTATTAATGATAAAATGCCACATGCTATTTTCTGAAACTAATCATCACAATGCTTTCTAAGTATACACACCACTGAAAAATCTATAAATATTATAGTCTGCAAAATGTAATAACACAAATTGCGTATTGATTTGCTGGAACACTTAAAGTGGATAAGGAGAAAAATCATACCCGTAATTTAAGATAATGTTAGAATATTCACATATATGATTTTTTCTAAATCATTGGATCTTATAAGGAAATCATCATCAGTTGTACTCTTTTCCTTTTAGCTCTTGGTGTTGAAGTTATGTCATTCATTAGACTAAAAATGTACATTTGATTTTTTATTATATGCAGTGTACAACACTTGCTAAATGATACCATGTTACTTTTCATGACCTCTTTAGTAGAATCATGTTAGAGGAGCAACATTTTAGAAACACCTATTGCTTCTAATTTTAAAGTAAAACGCTGAAATTTCCCTGAGAGGCTGACAGTAATCAAAATAGTTATGCTTTTATGATAGTCACAGCTTAACATTTCTGCTTAATAAATGGGAAATGAGTATTCTGCGAAAAAGAGGAAGCGACTTTGGTTTATATAGCATGACTTTGTCTAAGGGGAGACACAGTCGCTCATTTAGAACAGAAGGAGAACATGTTCTGTGTCTGAAAAGCCAGTGCAGAAAACACATACAGCAAATAATGTGCCTGCAGCTTTACTGAAGGTAATTTTTTTCAGAATATTTCTTCAGGAAATAGAAGGTAAAAAGCAGATACTACTGATTGAAATGTATTACTTATTTAAAAAATAATCCAAAGACATAACTTCACTGCTGCAAGCTGTGAGAGTTAAAATATTTTTTAATTATATGTTTGTATTATAGTGATGACCAGAGATGTTATGGACAGGATGGGGGTCATTGTATTGGAGAAATAGGACAGGACATCTCATTGCATTAAATGCTTTGTATTGTAGTTTGAAGGGCTAATTAAATGAGAGAACTAATGTGTTAAGGGAAAGGGTAACACTAATGCCAGTGTGTTTATCTAGTTGTTTCACAAAGATGCTGAGAAGTTCATTACTATGTGTAAAATTTTCATGTGATGTACCAGGTTATTATTACACTGATATCGCAGTGCTTCGCAAGGTCAGTGCTAAGATGTTTAGACATGGGTCTGGTGTTCTTGGTTGAATCATATTCTTCGATGTATGCTGGTAAAAATCACTGTTACAGCACTGTATGCAGGTGCAGTGCTCAATAGCTGTTGGTGATGGCTGATGCTCTGGCCTGAGTCAGCTTCTTGTCAGTGCTCCAGCTGCACATCCCTGTTTGTGCTGGGGAATGCAAAAGGAAGAGCACCAGGGGAAGAAGTGGCAACTATTCCTGTCCTGTTGTCCAGTGCATCCTGCAGCTGGGTCAAGGTTGATGGCTTGGTCCTGATGGCAAGCTCTGGTGTCCTCCTTGGGGCCACACTTGTCCAGTCAAGTTTTTCTGGTGGAAAGATTTCCAGCCACATAAAACCCAATGTGTGGAGGAAAGAATAATTTACTGTCCCTGATCCCTCTTTTTGGGTTTTGCTGTGCTTTTGATGAAAACCAGAGCAACAACTCTAGTGTGGGATTTTGAAAGATGTAGGCTCTGGTGTAATGTAATGGTTTCACACTCAGTTAGACTCCTGCGCATTTACTTCTGTTCACCTCTCGATTACAAGAAGTAGATCTAAATGGCATTGGGTGTAAAGTTGCTTTATCATTGCTGATTTCGGTGAGAAGTTTTAGAAAGACACAGTGACAGATCCAGAGCTTTATTTTCTAAGTGAAATAGCTGGACTGGGTGTACGACAGTAGGAAAGTAATCTCTCTGATGGACTTCTCAAGACAAGAAAAAGGAAGCTAAATAAAAGAGAGAAAAAAACCCCAAACTTTTGACACTGATGAGGGAACCAGGTTCTGATTTTTCTGTCTCTTCTTTGGTCAGTCTGTATTTAAAGCTGATTATATGAAAAAAAAAAAGAAAAATAAAACAAGAAGAAGAATAAAAAAAAAAAAACGGAAAAAAAAAAGAGAAAAAAAAAAATAAACCACACCAACCAAAAAAAACATCAAACCCAAAGATCCCAACTCATGTTTTATTGGCATTCAGATTCTACAGACTTGATGAAGAAGTCTATTCATGTACTACTGCCCCCAGAGTGTCTGTAGAATGCCTGGATGTCATATAAAAATAGGTATGTGCAGTAATTTATCACAAAATTCTAGAAATACTAGATTTTGTTTTTACCTAACAGCAATCACTTTCCTCATACTTTCAAAAGCACTTAGAAATTTTTTTGCTAATTAATAGCCATAATTACTAGAAAAAAAATCTTGTTTTCTTGATTCTGCAAAACATTATCTTTTCATGGCATACTTAAGATTTAAAATAACTCTATTAAAAATATATCAGTGATTGTTCTGGTCCATTTATCTTTAAAAAAATATTATCCTAAAACAAACCCACAAAAATAGAAGGATGTATTTATGTTTACTCACATTTTAGAAGAACAATGAAGAAACATTAAAAAATAATAAAATTTTAGAATATATTTATACTGATTGTGTGAGTTATACCACTGATATACGTGGAGCTACTCAAGAAGTAAAGCACTATTAAGTATGAGCAAAGACATAAAAATGTATGGAAAATATGCATTATCCTGTAATTGTTCAGATTCTGATAGTGGCTCTGTGTATATAGGACAATGGTTGGTTAGTTATTTTATCGTGATTTTTAGCAGCAGACGATGACAATGCTGAAATCTCCCACATCTATATTTGTACCATACTTCCTTATTTCAAATGTCATTATGTATTTTTAGGTCTAAAGAAAGAGGGATCTATATTCTTTCAGCATACTGCAAAACACGTGATGCTTAAACAGGAGACCACCCATGTTCTTTTTTAATTGATCTTGAATGTAGTTATACTTCACCACCAGTTCCTTCTGTGGAAATGACTCCTCCTGGAGTCTAGAGGGATAACTTGGCCTTCATAAAGGAAATGCCTAGATCTGAGGGCTTGGCCTTCCCATGGAGGAGATGCCCTTAACTGTGCATGCCATAGCTCCAGAGGAGCAGCCTGCACTGAAGCAGTTTTGCGCACACTTGTTCTGTGTGCGAACACTTTCTGTAAGCGCTAAGTCCAGCGTCACACGACTTGTGATGTTGATTGGAACTGCACAGGCACATATAGGCAACACATATGTGTAGACACACAGAATACATCTACATATCTACATATATGTATACAATGCAGGATGCTTAGCTCCTTAAGACTTTGAAAGTAACATTGAGTGGAAAGTATTATAAATCCTTTTTCTCTGCTTACCCTCAATGATCAGGAGCTTTCTCCTCATGGTCTAAGAAGGAAGGAGGTTTATGCATATACCTGAAAAAAACCTAAAACCTGTCCTCTTAGTAGAAGAGGTAGCACTGGGTGTGAAGCAGCTAATTTAAAAATTAAATTTGCCATAGCGTTAAGCACTCTTCTAATTTCATGTATTTGAATTCCAAAATTGTGAGGTTTTTTTTCCTTGTTCTGACTAATTTCTCATGTCTTGGCCATGTTTTTATCAATACCTTTTTCCATAAGATGGTCTCTATATCATGTCCAAACGACTCACTATAATTTTGGGATCTTTGTGACCCTTTTCCTTCTACCTTACACTGTCTAACACAGGAAGCTTCTCCTGCCTCAGCTATGCAGCAATATGTAAAAAACCAAGTTGGTATGTTCTTAATAAGACTAGGTCTTAATAAGACAGTTGGGTGGTAAGGTAATAAAAGGACAAGGTAGAAAACAGAAAGACATAAAGAGCGGCAGTAGCTAGAAGAAAAAAAGTCTTTACGAAATGCAAAGCTGCTGCCTGACACAATAAAATAGTATCACGATAAGCTATGAGCATACACACAAGACAGGTTTATATGTTATAGATTTTAATGTTACCATTTTGCTTTGTTTTCATTTTACACTCAGTTTTCATAAATAAAGATGTGAATAATTTCTTTATGTAAAGCATTTAGCCTGTGTCTTGCATGTCATTCTGTTTCCTGATGGAATGTAAGTTTTTCTTTGTTTTTATGTGTTTTGTTGAATTGTTCTCAAGATTGTTGGAAACTGTTTGCCAGGTCCTGAGCATGTTGCATGTGCCTCTTACCCAATGGTGGTGGTTTTTCAATGCTGTAAATGCTTTATATCCAACAGAGCAGCTACTTGCTGATCAGCTATCACTCTTTTGTTAGTAGCGTACTGTGAAATTACCCATCCCCTTCTCTTTTATCACTAGAGCTTAAGTGCAGTGTCTGTGTTTGCGCCAACTTCTGGATTTTTTTTCAGTTTGCCACTTTCACATTCTGCCATTTTAGAAATACCCATCTTGTTCTTGCCTAGATACTCCCATGGGCTTTTCTGAAAATTATATGCCCATAGTTAAATTTCTAGGGTCGGAAAGGCCCTTTTGTTTTCTCTAGCTTGACTATTTTGCTTTTTTTTACTTCTTATCACATTATTTCTGCTGCCACCCAATATGTTGATTTATGGCTGTTTTTCTCTTTTGTTTTTTACTTTTTTCTTCTTCTTCTGAGCAGTTCCTACTGAAAATAAGAGGGAGATCAACTACTGGCTTTTCAGAAATGACTCGGTTTTCTCCCTTCCTAAATACATCTGTTCTACTGCTACTATTTTTTTATGTCTTCTCAAATAGTTCACCTGTTTATGACACAGAATCAGAGAGAGGTGACAAAGGTGGCTTTTTCTCACTTATTCAGTGTCCTGGTTCTGACCAATTTGTTGGAAGGTATTATTGTAAATGCAGATTCTATTTTAGGGAAAGGGGTAAAGACAGTATCCTGTCACAAGAGTATGTAAGGAATCCCCTGATGGAGGAAAAATCCCCAGTTGGAATGGCTGAGCCAACTTAATGTCACCTGAAACAGGTCTGACGATACTACCCTATCTTGGCAAAATTTACTTTTCAGAGTGTTATTTGACAGAAAGTGAAACTAGAGTGAAAGCACTGGTCTAAGACATTTGAGGTATAAAGTCTGGAGTAAAAAGTTGTGTGTATTATTTTTTGTGTGTGGGCACTTGAACATCATGTGAGTGATAGTGACTCAGAGCTGTCTTGAATTTCCTCAGCTGAACAAAATACCATCACATTTACCAGCAATAGGTGCCATCCCTTTTTGGTGAGCTTAGCTTATTTTTAATAAGTTGTGGCATGTGTTAATATAAATTCTTGTTACACCACAAGTGTGATTTATAGATGAACAGTATTGTTTGCAGGTCTGCAGGTCCTGATAATTAGGATAGATGAGATTAAAAGAAAATAGTCATTGTGATAGAAACATGATGTGCAGCTTCTAATAACACTTTTTCCAATTGTAAGACACATTTGTCTAATAAAATTAAATAGCCAGGATAAATTTCATATTATAAATATAAAAAAAATATAAATATAACTATACAATTATATTTATGTATATGCATATAATTTAATTTACAATATAAACATTATATAAATATAACAGTAAAGTAAAAGTAAGTGATTTCTGATTTAGCACATAGTAGTGAACAAGTAATAATGAAAAAAAGAGTATATGTCTGGCCTACATTTCCTGCTACTGAGAATTTTCTGGTTTTATGTAAAGGAATCTCTACCACTGGATCTTTTAAAAATCATGTTAT